AAATAAATAAATAAATAAATAAATAAATAAATAAATAAATAAATAAATAAATAAATAAATAAATCATACATACATACATACATACATACATACATACATACATACATACATACATACCTTGAAAGGATGGAAGGCTGAGTCAACCTTGAGCCTGGTGAGATTCGAACTCGCACTAATTGCAGGCAGCTGGCAGCTAAGTGCTAGCACTTAACAGCACTTTAGTCCGCTGCACCACCGAGGCTCTGTTGCAATCTGTGCAGGCTCCTTCCGGGCAGATCTCTCTCCTCCGCTTAGGAAGTCATAAGACAGAAGGGCTGAAGGCACCCTCCTCTTACGACGGTTCGTTTAGTGACCGGAGTTACAACGGCACTGAAAACAGGTGACTTGGGACCGTTGTTCACGCTTTACGACCGTTGCAGCCTCCCCATGATCACGTGTGACCAAAATTCAGGCATGTATTGTGAAGCTGGCTCCCCCCACTGGCTTTGTTCGCCAGGAGGTCGCAAAACGGGATCAAGGGCACAGCAACGGTCGTAAGTAGGAACCAGTGGCCAAGCGCCTGAATTCCGATGACGTGACCATGGGGATGCTGCAGCGGTCGTAAGTGTGAAAAACTGTTGTAAGTCCCTTTTTTTTTTCAACGCCATCACTTTGAACGGTCTCTAAATGAACTGTCGTTAAGTCGAGGACCTACCTGTAATTGTCCCCACTGTCTGGAAATCCCTCCTTAGTGCTAAGTTGCTTCTCTCCTGGATGAGTTTCCACCCGTTGCTTCTTGTCCTGCCTTCAGGGGCTTTGGAGAATAGGTTGAACCCCCCTTCTCTTCTTCGGGGCAGCCCCCCAAATATTGAAAGTCTGGTATCAAGTCACACACATCCCCAATCCTTTGGCACTGTGAATTCAAGAGGATAACAAAGTTGGAAGGGACCTTGGAGGTCTTCTAGTCCATTTCCCTGCTCAACAGGGCACCTGATACCAGTGATGGCTAACCTTTTTGCCATTGTGTGCCAGGAGCAGGGTGGCACGAGGGGGGGGTGTCGCGGATGTGCATGCCCACACCCATAATTCTATGCGCCCCACCCCTGCGCATGTGTGCGCGAACCCCCCTGTTCCTGGCATGCAATGGTCTGGTGGGCCTGTTTTTCTCTCTCCCCAGGCTCCAGAGCCTTTCTAGGAGTCTGGGGAGGGCGAAAACGGCCTTCCACACCCCCACAGAGGCCCTCCGGAGGCCGGAAACGGCCCGTTTGCCAACTTCCGGTGGGACCAGAAGGCCCTTTTTTTGCTCTCCCTAGGCTCCAGAGCCTTTCTAGGAGTCTGGGGAGGGCAAAAATTGCCTTCCACACACCCCCACAGAGGCCCTCTGGAGGCTGAAAATGGCCCCTTTGCCAACTTCCGGTGGGACCGAAGCTGAGCTCGCGTGCCCACTGATATGGCTATGAAGTGGCACGCGTGCCATAAGTTCGCCATCATAGGTTCGCCTATGCCATTTCAGACAGATGACTATCCAATCTCTTCTTATAACCTCCAGTGTTGGAGCATTCACAACTTCTGGAGGCAGGTGGTTCCGCAGATTAATTTTTCTAGCCGTTAGGAAGTTTCTTTTTATTTCTGGGTTGGTTCTCTCCTAAGATTAGAAGATGGCTGCAACCTCAAATTGGACACTTTGGATAGACAAATGACTATCCAGTCTCTTCTTTAAAAAGCCTCCAGTGTTGGAGCACCCGCAATTTCTGGTGGCAGGCTGTTCCACTGGTTAATATCTCCTCACTGTTAGGAAGCTTCTCCTTAGTTCTAAGCTGCTTCTCTCCTTGATGAGTTTCCACCCGTTGCTTCTTGTCCTGCCTTCAGGTGCTTTGGAGAATAGCTTGACTCCCTCTTCTTTGGGGCAGCCCCTCAAATATCTAATCCAGGGGTCTCCAACCTTGGCAACTTTAAGCCTGGAGGACTTCAACTCCCAGAATTCCCCAGCCAGCTTTGATATTGAATCCAGCAGATAAGAAAATAAAAGAGGCAATTAATTTATTGCGAGGGCAATTTAATATGTTTGGCAGATCAGGTCGCAACTAATTTGCAATATGTGCTAAACATAATATTTTTTGTAATGCTAATAAACCAGGGAGGTGGTTAGCATATTTGTTAAGGAAAAAAACAAAAGTCACGGACCATAGAGAAAATAGAATATAAAGGTAAAGAGGTTTATCAGCAAAACAGGATTAAAAAAGCATTTTTAGAATTTTATACGAGGTTGTATGCTGGCGATAAAATTCAAGGTACAGATATAGATAGATATCTCCAGAAAGAGAATATCCCTACAATTACAAAAGAGCAAAGGGAGGGTTTAAATCAACCAACAACCACTGAGGAGATTATGTTTGCAATTAAGCAGTTGAAAGTGGGTAAAGCTCCTGGGACGGATGGCTTGACAGCTGCTAATTATAAACATTTGCAGTTAGAAATGGTGGGACCACTTAAAGAATTATTTACTAATATACAATCTGGAGGAGATGTACCCCCTGCTCAAGCAGGAAACCCTGTGCCATTTCAGACAACTAACTGTCCAGTCTCTTCTTAAAAACCTCCAGTGATGGAGCACCCACGATTTCTGGTGGCAAGCAGTTCCACTGGTTAATTGTCCTCACTCTCGGAAAATTCCTCCTTCGTTCTAGCTGGCTTCTCTCCTTGATCACTTTCCATCCATCCTTTCTGGTGATCCTGCCTTCTGGTGCTTTGGAGAATAGCTTGACCCCCTTCCTTCTTTGTGGCAGCCCCTCCAATATTGGAACGCTGCTCTCGTGTCTACCTTTCCTTTTTTTTCTCTCTCTCTCTCTCTCTGTTTGCAGTGGACAGGCCCGTCCGGGTTTACGCCGATGGGATTTTTGACCTCTTCCACTCCGGACACGCACGAGCTCTCATGCAGGCCAAGAACCTCTTTCCCAACACCTACCTCATTGTCGGAGGTAAGAGAGGAAACGTTGAATTTGGGCACCTGGGAAGGAGCCCAGATGAGGAACATCTGGTCTCTTACTTAACAAGGTTTCCTGGTGGCCCTTGTTGTGGCCCGCCAGCGGCCAGCAGATTCGGACAGTGAGGAGGTTGGGGAGGAACATGGGCCAGTCCTGGAGTCTGGGGAAGGCTCTGCGTCGGAGGCAGAGACGGGGTCAGGACCTTCTGACAGTTGTCAGCTGCCTTCGGAATCGGACATCAGTGGGGCAGAAGAACAGCTGAAGCCTGTTCCCAGTGTGCACACGCACAGAGTTGCCAGGAGAAGGGAACAGCTAAAGAACAAGGGGCGACTCAGGAGTAAAGCACAAGGTGGACGATGAAGGGCCCCTCCCAGAGGGAAGAAAAGAGGAGCGAAGGGGAGTGGAGTTTGCAGGAGACAATTACCGTATTTTTCAGAGTATAAGACGCACCTACCTTTTTTGGTGAGGAAAACAAGAAAAAGAAATCTGCCTCTGCCTCCCAGCAATTTTGCCTCGTTGCAGCAAACCTTGATAGTACGGTGGTCTACGCACCCTGTTATTAACACAGCTGCCTGCAATTTACTGCTGGTTCGAATCTCTCCAAGGCTCAAGGTTGACTCAGCCTTCCATCCTTTCTAAGGTCGGTAAAATGATAGGACCCGGATTGTGGGGGCAATAAGCTGACTTTGTATAAAAAAGAACACCGTTTGGGGGGGCCGAAAGCCCTACTAAGCAGGTATATACAAAAGTATATCAAGAGCCTTGATAGTACAGTGGTCTACGCACCCTGTTATTAACACAACTGCCTGCAATTTCTGCTGGTTTGAATCTCTCCAAGGCTCAAGGTCGACTCAGCCTTCCATCCTTTCTAAGGTAGGTGAAATGAGGACCCAGTTTGTGGGGTCAATAAACTGAGTTTGTATAAATATACAAAAGGATGAAGGCTATTGCTGAGCACATTGTAAGCCACCCTGAGTCTCCGAGAGAAGGGCGGCATATAAATCAAATTAAAAAAAAAAAACAGCTTTATTTTCATTTTCGTTTTCAGCATAGCTTGATTAGCACAAGGAAAAAAAAAGAAAATCTGCTCCCAGCAATTTACCTCCTTGCAGCAAGCAGCTGAGAGCAAAACAGCTGAGAGTCGGGAGGCCGATCCAATCAACTTGTGCTAATCAGGCTGTGCTGAAGCTGAAAGGAGCTGTTTTTTTCCTTGCTGGAGAGGAAGTGGCTGCAAATTAAATAAAAAAAAAGAGGTTTATCGGGACGAAGACTCGGCTTCGTGCTGCTGGCGAAGCCTGGGTCAGAAGAGCCCTTCGGAAGGAGACCCCCCCCCGGGTGGGAAGGCTGAAGGCGGGGAAAAGTGGGGTGGGGGAGGAGGACCTTGGGAGGATTGGAGGGAGAAGGAACGAAGGTTTCAACGAAAAGGTCGGGCTCTTGCAGTCTGCAGCGACGAGCTGACCCACAACTTCAAAGGATTCACGGTCATGAACGAAGCCGAGCGCTACGACGCCGTGCAGCACTGCCGTTACGTGGACGAGGTGGTGAGGAACGCCCCCTGGACGCTCAGCCGGAGTTCTTGGCGGAGCACAGGGTAAGGGGAGATGGGGAGCCCCCCCCCTCCGGGACAGAGCGCCTTGGCCTAGAGCAGTGTTTCTCAACCTTGGTAGCTTGAAGATGGGTGGACTTCAACTCCCAGAATCCCCAGCCAGCGCTGCTGGCTGGGGGATTCTGGGAGTTGAAGTCCACCCATCTTCAAGCTACCAAGGTTGAGAAACACTGTGTTAATCTCTGCTCCTGTGTTGATATTTTTTTTCTGGCCAGGAATTGTAGTGATCTTTTAGCTTTTTGATTGTCCTTTTGAATGGTGTGTAAATGTGGTCCATCTCTATGTGCCCGTTGATGGCCGTTTTGTCTGAGTGCCGCTGGCTGGGGGATTCTGGGAGTTGAAGTCCACCCATCTTCAGTTGAAGTCCACCCATCTTCAAGCTACCAAGGTTGAGAAACACTGTGTTAATCTCTGCTCCTGTTGATATTTTATTTCTGGCCAGGAATTGTAGTGATCTTTTAGCTTTTTGATTGTCCCTTTTGAATGGCGTGTAAATGTGGTCCATCTCTATGTGCCCGTTGATGGCCGTTTTGTCTGAGTGCCGCTGGCTGGGGGGATTCTGGGAGTTGAAGTCCACCCATCTTCAAGCTACCAAGGTTGAGAAACACTGCGCTAGAAGTATCTGTCGAGGCCTTGGCGGGAATCGAACTGGGAGCCTTTTCCCACCTGCCCCAGATTGGGGTGGGGGGGGTGAGAGGTTTACCAAAGAGATCCAGGCAATGATCAAAAGTTAAGAACTTTAGTAGTTCTTTTCTTCCCTCCCTCTCCCTTCTTCCTCCCTCCTCCTCTCCTTCTTTCCTTCTCAATTTGTTTTCCTTCCTTCCTTTTTTTTTTCATCTTTCCTCCCTCCCTCTCCCCTTCCTTCCTCCTTCCTCCTTTCCTTCTCAATTTCTTTTCCTTCTTTCCCTTCCTTTCTTCCTTTTCAATTTCTTTTCCTTCCTTCCTTCCTCCCTTCTTCCCCCCTTCCTTTTTTCCTTCCCAATTTTGTCCCTTCTTTTCCTCCTTTTTTTCATCATCTCCTTCCTTCCTCTCCTCCCTCCCCCCTTCTTCTCCATTTCTTTTCCTTCCTTCCTTCTTTTCTGTTATGTACACCGAGAGCATATGCACCAAGACAAATTCCTGTGTGTGTCCAATCACACTTGGCCAATAAAGAATTCTATTCTATTCTATTCTATTCCATTCCATTCCATTCCATTCCATTCTATTCTATTCTATTCTTTGTCAATTTTCTTCCTTCCTTCTTTTCATCCTTCTTCCCTCCCTCTCCCCTCCGTCCCTTCTTTCCTTCCCAATTTCTTTTCCTTCCTTCCTTCCCTCCTCCCCTTCTTTCCTTCCCAATTTCTTTTCCTTCCTTCCTTCCCTCCTCCCCCTTCTTTCCTTCCCAATTTCTTTTCCTTTCTTCCTTCCCTCCTCCCCCTTTCTTTTCTTCCTTCCTTCCCTCCCTCCCTCCTTCCTCCCCTCCTCCCCCCTTCTTTCCTTCCCAATTTCTTTTCCTTCCTTCCTCCCATCCTTCCTTCCTTCCTTCCACGATAAACAAGGTCCCTAATGCGGGTAACCTTTCAGCCTAAGCCCCCTGCCCCAAACTCCCACCTTCTCTCGCACTAATACTTTCCTTTCTCCAGATCGACTTTGTCGCCCACGATGACATCCCCTACTCCTCCGCCGGCAGCGATGACGTCTACAGACACATAAAAGAAGCAGGTGAGTTTGCTGCCCGTGGAAACTCCTCCAAACTCGGCCTCCTCTTGTCCGTTATTCAGGGGCTCTGGCCTGGGGGGAGTCTTTAGCGCTCTCTGAGCTGCGTGGTTTTCTTGCAAACCTTTCATGATCCAACTAGGGGACGTCATCCGTCGTACAAGCAAGTGAGATAGGAGGGGGAGGAAAAGGACTGTAGGATCTTTGGTGCTCTCTGAGCTGAGTTCTTTTCTTTGGAGACCTTTCATCGCCCAATAGCAGAGCTACTAGGGAGTGGGGTTTTGAGAGAGGAAGAGGAGGACCGGGGATCGTTGATGCTCAGTGAGCTTCTTAGTTTCCTTGAAGACGTTTCATGACCCAGCTCGGTGGCAACATCAGTGTTAGGAGGAGGTGGCGTTTGTTCTCTGTTTACATACATCAATGTTGGTGGGTGTTCTGTCCGTCTCTCACACACGCACACAAACAGACAGCCGGGGGTTAAATAACTGGCAAAATCTTGATATGACAGCCAATTCTTCCGATAAGACGCTGGCAGCAACTCAGTAGCTGCTTGCCAAGAACTTTTACTCAATAAACAAAATACCCACAGTCAAGAATTGTCCAGTTCGTAAAATAAATCCAAGGCCGATAATGTTGTTTCCAAAGATGCAATGTGACTCGATAGTAGTTAGTTTTGTCCGTCACAGAGTCTGAATGGCCACCTCACCCCCTTTTATCCCCTGTGGGGTGTGGTCCAGTGACTCAGCTTAATCTCTGGCACGCCTTTTCTTCTGTTGCGCGCGTTTATCTCTGCGACGCTGGCGTGGATCCAGCCAAGACTCATCACCCTCATCACTGTCCACCTGTGGCTGCATGGACGTGCTTGGCCCCGGCTCTATCTCTTGCCCTTCGGCAGACACCGAAGGCATTGCCAGAGAGGAGGGTCCTGGAGAGGGAGGCCTTGCCGACTCCTCTCCTTCACTCTCGGAGTCCTCTCCTGCCGATGACACAGGCTCAGGTAACGGAGCCACAACACTGGGGATCTTCTCTTTGAAGTCTCCCCTGTGACATTCACTGCAAATCTTCAGGAAGGGAAGCGTTGCCTTCTTCCCATGTTGCATCTGTCGTGGGTCTTGCGTGAGTCTGACACCCCACCCACCCACCCTTTCCTTCCCGCCTTTGGCTGCCGTAGGAATGTTCGCCCCCACGCAGAGGACCGAAGGCATTTCCACCTCGGATATCATCACCCGCATCGTCCGGGACTACGACGTCTACGCCCGGCGGAATCTGCAGAGGGGCTACACGGCCAAGGAGCTCAACGTCAGCTTCATCAACGTGAGTCTCAGCGATCCCCAACCGAAGCACACGCGCCCTCCAAGAACCTCCCAGGGTCTCGGGGCAAAACTTTGATTGAGTATACATCGTTTTGGCACCATTGAATGGCAAAAACCAGCTCTACCTAATGCCCCACGCAAACCCACAAGTGAATAGAATAGAATAGAATAGAATAGAATAGAATAGAATAGAATAGAATAGAATAGAATAGAATAGAATAGATAGAATAGAATAGAACAGAACAGAACAGAACAGAACAGAACAGAACAGAACAGAACAGAACAGAAGAACAGAACAGAAAATATGGAAGAGAACAGAACAGAACAGAAATAGAATAGAGTAACAGAGTTGGAATTTATTTATTTATTGTTTATATTTATATACCGCCCTTCTCCTGAAGGAAGGGACCTTGGAGGTCTTCTAGTCCAACCCCCTGCTTAGGCAGGAAACCCTACACCATTCAGACAAATAGAAGACCTCTGGGATCCCTTACAGCCTTAGGAGTCTATGATTCTACAAGGGGGGGAGGGAGAGAAGAAAGAAGGGAGAGAGGGAGGAAGGAAGGAAGGAAAAAAGGGAGGGAGGGAGGAAGAAGGGAGGGGGAGAAAGAAAAAAGGGAGGGAGGGAGGGAGGAAGGGAGGGAGGGAGGGAGGAAAAGAGGAGGGAGGGAGGAAAGAAGGGAGGAAGGAAAGTCCTCCCCAGGGAGAAAGTGGCCTCGGGAAAAAGAAGAGTGGAAGGAGAAGGAAGGAAGGAAGGAGAGAGGAAGGGAAGGGAGGGGGAAAGGAAAAAAGGAAAGGAGGGAGGGAGAAAAGGAAAAAGAAGGGAGGAAGGAAGGGAAAGAGAGGAAAGAGAAGGAAGGAGGAGGAGGGAAGGGAGGGAGAGAGGAAGGGGAAAAAAAGGGAGGGAGGGAGGAAGGAAGTGAGGTCCCTCCCCAGGGAGAAAGCGGCCCCTTCTTGCAGCGGACTCCTTTCCCCCCGCCCCAAAAGAAGGGGTAGCTCAGCTGATGCTCTCTTTTTCTCCCCCCCACCCTCCCTTGGTAATCATTTTGACACCCCCTCTCCTCCCCCCCCCGAACTGTGGCAGGAGAAGAAGAGTACCACTTGCAAGAGAGGGTGGACAAGGTGAAGAAGAGAGTGAAGGACGTGGAGGAGAAATCGAAGGAGTTTGTCCAGAAAGTGGAAGAGAAAAGCATCGACCTCATTCAGAAGTGGGAGGAGAAATCGCGGGAATTCATCGGCAACTTCTTGGAGATGTTCGGCCCCGAAGGCGCCTTGGTAAGTTGTGTGTGTGTGCAAATCCCGGTTACCATTCCTGTGTGGTCTCGGGGGTTTGTGACTTCGTGACGTTGACCTGTCTGAATTAGCTTTATTAGGTAGTCCTCGACTTAGAAACCGTTTGTTTAGTGACCGTCCGAAGTTACAGCGGCACAGGGAAAAAAAAATGGGGGGACTTATCCCTGTTCTTCACACTTACGACCGTTTTTGTCCATTTTGCTCCTTCCTGGAAAAAAAATAGGCTTAATGTCTATGGAGCTTCTCCATCATCCAGATCAAAGGTGTTTTTTTTTTTTTCCCTTCAACTGGGCTCTCTGGTTTTTTCTTCGAAGACATTTCGCTTCTCATCCAAGAAGCTTCTTCAGTTCTGACTGGAGGGTGGGGAATATACAGGGGTGAAATCTAAAAATTTTCGCTACCGGTTCTGTGGGTGTGGCTTAATTAGTGGGCAGGGCTTGGTGGTCAGGTGACTGGGTGGGCGTGGCTTGTTGGTCAGCTGGGCGTGGCCAAGTCGACGTCGCTTCTTTGCCCTTTTTTAACCTACAAAACATAAACACCCACAATGTAATAGCAGCTGTGCTAGACCCAAAATAGCCCCTGCAACAAGCAGGAACCTCACACAGCCACAAAAAGTCCAAAAAGCCAACTTTCACGCTTTACACACACAAAATTCCACATACAGCTTTGTGAGATTTTGTGTGTTTGTGTAGTTAGAATGAAACACTACAGAAACACACAAAAATCTCAGAAAGCTGCACAAATATTTTATTTTATTTTTATTTTTATATAAAAGCAGCTAAATTTAAAACTTCCTAAACTTTAAATGGCTAGGTCTAAAAAAAGAACAACTAAAAAAACCCCAATTAACTATTTTTTTTTAAGCTCCCAAAGGGAAAAAAAACCTCCAAGGGATATGGCAGGCAGGCAGGCAGGCAGGGCAGTAGAGCTGCTCACCGATGAGCTTGATTGCAGGCAGGGAGATTCAGTTGCTTGCTGATGTGATGCAATGGATTGCAGGATTACAGCAAGCGAAGCAAGGCAGGCGTTGCAACTAGCAGCTCAGGATTCGGTCCGAAGAGCGAAGGTAAGCAAGCTGGAGGCTGGGGGGGGGGGCGGGGGGGGGAAAGGATTTTTGCTACCCGCCACCATCGCTACCTACTCGCCCGAGCCAATCCGAACTGGGAGCATTTCACCCCTGGGAATATACATCTCTCATCGTCATCATAAATCATCATCATTCTAGCTACGGTCTCTCCGCTGCAGGACGAAGGCCTCTTCCGCAGGTTCCCAACCCACGCGGTCCTGAACTCACTTTCGCCAATTGGACCCACCATACATGATGCCCATCCGTCCATCTTGTTTTTAGGCCTCTTTGTGGACGCTTTTGATCAAGCGCAATCTCTACCATATAGTAGTGGCCAAAATGGTGGAAACCTTTTGGGAAAAGTGTATTTTCTAAAACTAGCTAATAACACCACTTTTTTTGGGGGGAGCAGTAGTAGTACCATAAAATGATATATCCATGGAAAGATAATTTAATCAAGAATGCAATGCAATAACTTTTAGGAAGGATTTGCTATTAGAATAGCAGTTACAGGATAAAGAAGAAAAGTGAAACACGTAGAAAAAAACGAGATATACAAAAATGATCCCCATGTCAGTTAATAATTGGGTAACCTTTAGCATGAATGACGGCCTTACAATGTCTTCCCGTGGAGGGAACCAAGTCTTTGAGTTCTGCAGCTGTTCTAATGTGAAACCAAGATTGAATGATGGCTTCTATTAACTGGGTTTTATTGCTCGGTCGCTTCTGACTAACCAGTTTCTTTAGTCGGCTCCATAGATTTTCAATTGGGTGGAGGTCTGGGCTATTCCCAAGCCATTCCAGCAGTGGAATAGGGTTATCTTGAAACTCCAAAAGAAAAAGTGGTGTTATTAACCATAAAACCTCAAAAAGACACTTTTCCCCAAAAGATTTCCACAGTTGTGGCCACTACTATAAATACAAATGACATAAAAGAATATAAAGAGTCCCTAGGGAGTTGGGCGGCATAGAAATGTGACAAACAAACAAACAAACAAACAAACAAACAAATAAATAAATAAATAAAATTTTCTCTTCCCCCACCATTCAGTCAGAACCGAGGAAGCTTCTCAGAGCAGAAGCGAAACGTTTTCAAAGGGGGGGAGCCCCCCCCCCCAGAAAGTCCAGCTGCTTTTTGGAAAAAGCACCTTTGGGACAATCACAGCGGTTCTTAAAAGTCGGTAACACCGTCATTAAGCAAACCTGGCTTTCTTAATGACTTTGCTGGTCAAAAGGTCGCAAAATGGGATTACGTCACTCTGGGACACTGCCACCGTCATAAATGTGAGTTGCCAAGCGCCTGAATTGTGTTCACCCGACCTTGTGTCATTCCCACCCCCCCACCAGATCTAGGTTTGAGGAAAGCAACTCCGTACCCTTTGTCCAAGAGGATTGTGGGAAATGTCCGTGGAGGATTCTGGGAATTACCAGAATCGGAAGGCAACTTACGGAGAGGAAATCGGGTTGAGGAAATCTTGATTTAAGGGTGAAAAACAGTCATAAGTCACTGTTGGGTTTTTTTTTTTTTTTTTTTTTTTGGTGTCGTCAGAACTTCGAACGGTCGCTAAACCATAATCATAAGTGTTTTTTTGTCATGGCAACCTGGTCTCCCCCATTATGGGATGGAGCATATGTGCTCCATCCCATAATGGGGGAGACCAGGTTGCCATGACAAAAAACACTTACCATATTTTTCTAACTATAAGACGCACCTAAATTTAGAAGAGGAAAACAACAAAAAAAGGTTTTTGGCCTGCCTTTTTTCGGGCTTTTTCTCGGGCCTTTTCCAGCCTTTTTCGGGGTTTTTTTTTTGGCCCGTTTTTTCGAAAAAAACGGGCCAAAAAAAGCCCCCAAAACGAGCTGAAAAAAGCCTCAAAAACAGGCCGAAAAAAGCCTCGAAAAGGAGCTGAAAAAAGGCCTGAAATAGGCCGAAAAAGGCCCGAAAATGAGGCGTGCGGAGGCCAAAAAAATGGCTGGCGGGTGGGTGGGGCTTCGGCAATATTCGGTCTATAAGATGCACAGACATTTTCACCCCCCTTTGGGAGACAAAAAGGTGTGTTTTATAGTCTGAAAAATACGGTAATCTTTCCCCTGGTATAGCTGACAAAGCGAGGAGAGCCCGTGGCTTAGAGGTTAATACAAGCGAATATAATATGCCAGTAGCCCGGGGTTCGAATCCCGGAAAGGATACGGCTAGCTGACGAGAGTTAAATAACTTGAAATAGATCTATACTAGTCTCCCTTTATTTCTTTGTCGGTAAATTGAAATTTAACACAACGGTCGTAACTCGAGGACTACGGTATCCGTTTGGAAATTGACTTTTTTTAAAAAAAAATTGTGTTCTTTCTTCCTCTCTTTCTCCCATCCCCACTTTCCAGAAGCACATGCTGAAAGAAGGGAAGGGCCGGATGCTGCAGGCCATCAGCCCCAAGCAGAGCCCCAGCAGCAGCCCCACGCACGACCGCTCGCCCTCGCCCTCCTTCCGCTGGCCGTTCACCGCCAGGACGCCTCCACTCTCTCCCGCCGGCCTCCCCCGGAACAAGTCGACGGCTAGCTACGACATCAGCGAGGATGAGGAGGACTGAGTCCGCCCCGGGAGACGGCGGCGCAGGGCGGGGGGGGCTTACGGAAGCCACGAGCCACTGGGGGAGACCCTGAGAACTTCTGCCTGGCTCCCCAAATTCAAGAGCTGAGATGGTCGCACCGTCGGAAACGTCGTCTTTCCCCCAACGTCCGGGAGCTGGGACATGCCGTAGCATTTTCCTTATTATTATTATTTTTTCCTCTCCTTTCCCCCGGTTATTTCTCACCCCTACGGAGGGAAATGGTGATTCTTCTTTTAAAACCAAACGTTTTATTTTTGGCGGTAGCCGAAAGCATCAAATTTGGAGACGGCGAGGATGGGAACCTCTCTTTTCTCACCCGGCTTCTCATCCTTAACATCGCCATCTCCGCTTCTCCCGTCGGCCGGGGTCCTTGGCCTGCAGGGAGCAGAGGCCCTTAAAGTGGGCGAAACGGGGTGTCGGTGGGTGGGGGAAGGAAGAAGCTGCAAAAATTTGCCGCTCCCCACACCTAGGGGCAGAGAGAGAGAGAATGCGTTGTCTCGCAGCCTCCCCAGGTTTCTAGTCCTCAAGAGAGAACACGGAGAGGCGATGCGAAGTGAAAGTTTGCTTCGGGGTTTCCCCAAGAGACTCACACCTGGGTTACACGCTCCCTGCTCTTCCTGTCTGTGTGCCACCTCCCCCACCCCAAGTGAAAGCTGCCTTTTTTCGGTTCCTTTTGCAACGTCCCGCAAGGGAGTCAGAGCTGCAGGTGCACCAGGGAGCGGGGGTGAGCGGTGAATTCTTCTGTCCCGACTCGGCTGAGAGTTTCCAGATTGTTGTGTTGTCGGTCCTTTGGGGTGGCACATCCGTTGCACTAAAAAGCCGCAAACGGACACGTCGGTCCCGTTTTTCCGCCAACGGAGCCCGCTGGCTCTCGGTCCATCTCCCCTCCACCCCTCCCGCTCCAAACTATTTGCAAAGTTCCGTGGGGCAGCCACACCCGATTTCAGTAACGTTTCGCCTTTGCGTCTCCTGTCCCGTCGCGAAATAAAGCCACCGATCTCTGCGGGCGGCTGGTCTTCGCGCCCGCCGTTTTTCTCCCCCCCCCCCCCCGAGCGGCCCCCTCTCTTCTCGCGCGTCTGATACACACCCCACGTTGTCGAGAATTAGCCCAGATTCTGCCCCGCGGCTGAACGGGGGAAGCCCCATCGGGCACTGACCAAGCCGAGGTGGGTGCGCGGTCATGCCCCGGGCCCCAGATTGCAGGATTTTGGAGCGGACGCCTGGCCATTTCTCCCCGCTCCCACTCCTCCGGTGGATGCCGAGCAACATCTGGGCGGCAGCCGCTCGTTTGCCCTGGCACAGCGCCCGTTCGTTAGGAACCCACTTCTCGTTGGCTGTTGTTCTTAACTCTGTAATAAATGTTCGGGTTTGACTGACGGTTTCTGTCGGGTTTTTTTGTGGGTCTGAATGGCATTTTTTAAAATTTTTTTTTTTTTTTTTTTTTGCTTGGTTGGGCTGCGCCGCCGTTCTCTTCCTACTTCCTTCCTGCGGCTTCGGAGGATTGTTTTGAGGGCTGGTGACTTTGTGAGTCAATTTCCTACGCAGGGTGCACCCTCGCACGCCCCGAGTGCAAGCAGCGTGATCTAATGCCAACAGCTCAACCAAAGAACCTCCACTTCCACCAGGGCAAGCCACTAGAACAGCGGTCACCAACTGGTGGTCCGTGGACCACTGGTGTGTCTGCGAGAAACTTTTGGTGGTCCGCAGAAAAATTATTTGCATTTTTGTATATTGCACTAAATCAGGGGTCCTCAAACTGCAGCACCTGGGACAGATGCGTGCAATGAACGCTTGTGTTGCTGCAGAGAGTTTCCCCCCTTCGGGGTCTTTTTGGGTGGGTCGGAGGGGGGCAGAAATTCTGACTTGGGGTCTGCTTCGGCCTCCTGGTGGGGGGCTTTGGGCGAAGGCTGGAGGGAAGAGCCGCTGGTGGCAAAGAGCCGGAGGGCCTCGTTCCACTGGGACTGCATCACGGCCTGGAACCGGCTGACTATCTCAGCCCACTGAGCCTCCAGGTGCCGGTACCTGGCCTTGCACTCCCGCAGGTCTTCCCTCTGCTTGGAACGCCTATGCTCCTAGTCCTCAGTGAGGTGCTTCTGCTGAGCCTCCTCCTTGGCCAGATCCAATTGGAACTGAGCTGTTTTGCCAACTCTTTCTCCTGGTGGCTGCTGAGCTCCAGCAACTGCTTCCTGTTGGGGCCCTAAGGAGCCCGGGAGGGGAGGGGAGGAGGGGCTGGGAGGGGAGGGGCGAGTAGAGGCTGGTGAGGCGTCCCTCGACGTGAGTGACATCGAGTTGGCCACGCCCACCCAGTCACATGACCACCTGGCCACGCCCACCCAGCCGGTCATTAGGCAGATCATATTCGTGGTCTGCGGGATTTAAAATTATGAATTTAGTGGTCCCTGAGGTCCGAAAGTTTGGGGACCCCTACACTAGGATACAAATGAGAGCAAACCCCATTCCTTAGTAGCACTGATGATGGTACTTGGTTTGGTAATGAAATGTTTGCAAGAAAACCAGCAAATTCAGTGAGCACCATGGACCCCACAGCCTTACTCCCCTTCCTTCCCTCCCTTTCTCCTTCCTTCCCTCATTTCCTCTCCTTCCACTTTTCCCTCTCCTCTCCTTTTCTTCTCCTTCCTTCCTTCCCTCCCTTTCTCCTCTTTCCTTCCCTCATTTTCTCTCCTTCCACTTTTCCCTCTCCTCTCCTTTTCTTCTCCTTCCTTCTTCCCTCCCTTTCTCCTTCCTTCCCTCATTTCCTCTCCTTCCACTTTTCCCTCTCCTCTCCTTTTCTTCTCCTTCCTTCCTTCCCTCCCTTTCTCCTCTTTCCTTCCCTCATTTTCTCTCCTTCCACTTTTCCCTCTCCTTCCTTTTCTTCTCCTTCCTTCCTTCCTTTCTCCTTCCTTCCTTCCCTCATTTCCTCTCCTTCCACTTTTCCCTCTCCTCTCCTTTTCTTCTCCTTCCTTCCTTCTTTCCTCTACTCCCTCTACTTCTTTCCACAAACCCCACTCCCTTCTAGCACTGGTGACATTACCTAGTTGGGTCATGAAACGTCTGCAAAAAATCCAAGTTCAGAGACCATCCAGGACCTGCCTCCCCCCTGGCCCCCCGAAGTCTCTTTGTTACTCTGGTGCTTTAGCATTGACTCTGCAAGCACACGGATAATCTGCAAACTTTTTTGTTGCCGCAGGACTTCCCCTTAAGACAGTGTTTCTCAACCTTGGTAGCTTGAAGATGGGTGGACTACAACTCCCAGAATCCCCCAGCCAGCAACGCTGGCTGGGGGAATTCTGGGAGTTGAAGTCCACCCATCTTCAAGCTTCCAAGGTTGAGAAACACTGCTTTAAGAGAATCCAATCTTATCTATAAAATAAACATGTCTAGTTCCTACGATCAAGAGCAGAGGGGGCAAACTCAATTTCCTTGAGGGCCACATCATGGTTGTGTTGGTGGGGGCCAGGTGGTGTGGCATGGCCAGCTCGCCGTCACTCATGGAGGCTCCATTTTCGGCCTCATCGGCCTCCTGCATCCCTCTGCCAGTGAAAAGAGGCTCCCTGAGCTCCGTTTTTGCTGGCATGAGGCACCACAGGCTGGTCCTTCACTATTTCCAGGGAGATCCAGTGGTGGGATTCAGCCGGTTCGGGCCAATTAAATTGACCACGTGCCCGAAGTGCAGGTTGGCCTCCTAGGCCCAAAACGGGGTGCGGGAGGCTTCCTAGGCCCAAAATGGGGGACGGGGGTCCCCATTCACGGCCTGTTTTTGCCCCCGGGGGGGTGCAGGAGGCCGAGTGCTGCCTGTCACACCCCCTGGCCACACCCACCATGGCCACGCCCACTCAGCCGGTCATTAGGGCAGAGAACCGGTTGTTCCAATTATTTGAATCCCACCACTGGCCAGATCTAAGCACCCCGTAAGGCGGATCGACCCCGCAGGCCTTGAGTTTGACACCTCTGATCCAGAGGAACCTTCTGGAGACAGGCTGACTCAGTCCTCAGAAGGACGTTGGAACCGGAATGTCCGGAGTCAATAGGAGCAATGGAATTCAGACCCCTCCCCCTCCGGTTTCTCTCCCGACTTTGCCGAAACCAGAATTTTTAGAAATATTTGCACAAAACATACAAATGAGCCTCATCGCCCCAGTCCCTTGTCTTAGGTCAGAAGGATTTGTCCCACATAGACCGCAAGTTCCTGAACACAAAAATTAGACAGCCTTCGGAGCTGGCAGCAGAGTCAGACAGTGAGGAGACTGGCGATGAACATGGACCAGTCCTGGAGTCTGGGGAAGGCTCGGACGAGGGCTCTGCATCGGAGGCAGAGATGGGGCCGGGTCCATCTGGGAGTGATGTGCGGACTGCGGGGCCTCCAGAGTCTGACATCAGAGAGGCAGAGGAACAGGAGGAGCCTGTTCCTAGTGCGCGCATGCGCAGAGCTGCCAGAAGGCAAGAACAGTTAAAACAAAAGGGACGACTCAGGAGTAAGGCCTGGAGATGATTGGCCCCTCCCATAAGGCTTAAAAGAGGAGCAAAGGCACGTGTGCCCTTTACAGGAAAGCAACGTTGTTAATTCTGTTCCCAGTCGGCATCTCTGTTTGATTCTGGACTCCGTGTGGCTTTGCCAAGTAAGTCTTTGGCAGCGTGTCAAGGGAGATAAAGGTTGGTGATTATCCCGAAGGACTTTTTGCAAGTAATTGGGACTCAGCCAGTGGTGGGTTTCAAATTTTTTTACTACCGGTTCTGTGGGCGTGGTTTGGTGGCTATGGCATGGCTTGGTGGGTGTGCTTGGTGGGCGTGGCAGGGGAAGGATATTGTAAAATCTCCATTCCCTCCCGAATCCAGGGGAAGGTTACCGCAAAATCCCCCTTTCCTCCCCATCAGCTGGGACTCGGGAGGCAGAGAATAGATGAGGGAGGGGGGCCAGTCAGAATTTTTACTACCGGTTCTCCAAACTACTCAAAATTTCCGCTACCGGTTCTCCAAACTACTCAAAATTTCTGCTACTGGTTCTCCAGAACTGGTCAGAACTTGTTGAAACCCACCTCTGGACTCAGCTGTGAATGAACGTAATTCACAGCTGTTGCAATAAAAGAGGTTTTTGGAACTCCTCATGTGTTTTAATGACTCAGGAAGCCTATGTCACAACACAACCAGGCTAGCAGCTCGAGTACCACACTTCCCTTCTCTCGCTCCGATGAGAATAAAACCGGAAGATTTATTCGGCGAGCTTTGCGCACTTTTAACAATAGGCGTGCCTGTGCCAATAGTCCAAACGTCACTTTGCGAAGGTTGGCTTTTCTCTCTCTCTCGTGCCACCAGCAAGCAGCAAAACTCTTCGTGGAAACGTACACACAGGTAGTCCTCCACTTACAACACTTCGCTTAGTGGCCGTTTGAAGTTACAGCGGCCTTGAAAAAAGTGACTTACAACCGTTTTTCACACTTACGACCCTTGCAGCATCCCCGTGGTCACGTGATTTACATTCGTTGTCAACTGACTCACATTTATGACGGTTGCAGTGTCCCGGGGTGATGTGATCCCCCTTATGCGACCTTCAAGGGGGACGCCAGATTCATTTAACAACCGTACGAGTAATTTAACAATCCTTCGCTTCACACCGGTGGCAAGATAAGCCGTAAAAACGGGACAATGCTCGCTTCACAAATTTCCCAGCGACATACATTTTGGGGCTGAATGGTGGTCGTAAATTGAGGACTACCAGCACGGTGGGATTTGGCCATTTTTGACAAGCGTTTTGTGTGTTGGGGGCTGGGTCTCGGACCCTCTTTTATTGCTTGATCTCGGCTTTGTACTCTGGAGATTCGCAGAGGCAGCATCCTGGCTTGTCGTCCGGTTTCCGGTAATACATCCTGGCCAGCACCGCAAGGACAAACGTTTCCAAGATCAACAGCTGGGCGTGCATTTCTTGGAGCAAAAGATTGAAAAATCAGGATTAGCGTTGAAAGCAGCTAATGTCTCCTGCCTGATGCTGCCTTCCGGAGGTTTTCAGCACTACAGTTCCCAGTGGCCGTCATGCAGTGGTGAAATCTAAAATTTGTTACTACCGGTTCTGTGTGCGTGGCTTGGTGGTGGGGGTAATGTGACTGGGTGGGCGTGGCCAATTTTTTTTTCTTTTAAAACCATTTTTTCTACAACCTCTTCGGCGAAGAGGTTGTAAAAAAATGCTTTCAAAAGGCTCTGATGATCCCAGATGAGTTGCCTGATCAGCAGAGGCTTTTTTTCTTTTAAAAGCCTCTGCCGATCATGCAACTCAGCTTGGATCGTCAGAGGCATTTAAAAGAAGAAAAGCCTCTGCCGATTAGGCAACTCAGCTTGGATCGTCAGAGGCATTTAAAAGACAAAAAGCCTCTGCCGATCAGGCAGCTCAGCTTGGATCATCAGAGGCTT